TTGGAACAAGTGACTACACTTGAGCTCCTTGAAGTTGTATCTCATCTGAGTCTCCTCTCTACTAAAAAGCTTCTTAAGAGGGAGCTTAACAGGCAAAGGCACTCTATTTCTTATGAATAAAATCTTCAGGTTGGGTTTTACCAGATCTTCATTAATGAAATTTTGGAGTAATGCAATCATGAAAATAAATAGAGAAAGACTGTTCAGTTTTTATACTATTCAATACAGTTGTATTCTTCAAACTTATTACAAAATTTCCTCAAATTTGATTATTATAAATGAATTCAGTAGGCCTACTTATATAACAAAAGTGTCTATCTCAAAGTTAGTTTAGAAAATATGAACAATGGGGCATATAGCGTATAATCCCAGATATTTAGAGTCTTTAGGAATCACAGTAAGTCAGTGGTCCAAAATTTACAGAGCTGAATAAATTTAAAATGTTGGAAACATGATTGGGATGAGCGGAAAGATTGGAGAGAGAAACTTTATAATGTTCTATGAGATTATTTAGTGAACATTTTAGGTGAGAACCAAGAAGAAATTGGGGGAACAAAAGTACAAAACTCCTTATTCTTTTACAGGTCAGAAAAACTCAGGGGGCATTTAAGAGTTTCCTTTCTGTTACCTCTTGTGGTATTTATTTTATACTGAACTCCACAAATAAACACAATGATGGTGGCTGCAAAGCTTCATTGAACACATACTCAAATGTCTCCTTAGCAAGGTTTTGTGCAAAAAATATTCTTTATATTTTCAGGTAGTGGGCTTCAAGGCATTTATTATGTAAGGAGTCTCTGATTTGTGTGTGTGTGTGTCACATTTGTAAAAAAAAAAAACAACCAGCATATGATCAAATTTAAAGCATGCATTAAAAATTAATAGCTATAATACATAAATATTTAGCATATGTGTCAAGTGTATAGAGCAATAAGATCTTGATTATGCCTGGTAGAAAATAGGACCCATTTTTTTTTTTTCTGGTTCATCTGCAAAACCTTGCTGCAAAGTAGAAATTCCACAATGAATCAGTTCTACAAAGAGTTTCCAACTTTTCTCTGTCAGTCGCTTTCCCCGTGGACGATGATGACAAGATCGTCGGGGGCTACACCTGTGGGGCAAATACTGTTCCCTACCAGGTGTCCCTGAACTCCGGCTACCACTTCTGCGGGGGCTCCCTCATCAATAGCCAGTGGGTGGTGTCTGCGGCTCACTGCTACAAGTCGTAAGTAACCAATACTCACAGCCCTGTTCTCTGAGGCCAGGGCATCCTCAACCATGCCAAAGACAATCAGGGTGAACTATAGAGTCATGCTTGAAGGGGAGCATTCAGATTCCAAGACCTCATTATACGCCCCCACCAGACATTGTATGCACTGAGGCCTTCCAAATGAAGGCAGTAAAGACACAAGAAGAAAAATAATGAATGGTTAAATATATCTAGAGTATCGTAACATAGTTCTTTCCCAGGTGGCTCAGTGGTAAAGAATCACCCTACCAATGCAGGAGACGCAGGAAATGAGTGTGTGTGTGTGTGTGTGTGTGTGTGTGTGTGTGCGCACTGCAAGGACCCTCTGTCTGTGCTTATGCTCAAGACGGGGCTGCACTGGGAGGGGGAGGCCCTCATACTGGAGACTTAGAGAACTTGTCATCCTTTGATCCAGCGGAATCCAAGTGCGTCTGGGAGAAGACAACATTAATGTCGTTGAGGGCAATGAGCAATTCATCAGCGCATCCAAGAGCATCGTCCATCCCAGCTACAACCAGAACACCTTGAACAACGACATCATGCTGATTAAGCTGAAATCAGCTGCCAGCCTCAACAGCCGAGTGGCCTCCGTCTCTCTGCCAACGTCCTGCGCCTCCGCCGGCACCCAGTGCCTCATCTCCGGCTGGGGCAACACCAAGAGCAGTGGCAGTGAGTATCACGGGGACACGGTCAGCAGGCCTGAGAATCCTAGAGGTGAAAGCCACGCTCAGGGTCAGGTAGCCTTGTGTCCCTCAGGGCAGCATTCCCAGAGGAGAGGGGGGTTCTGCGGAATCTTAGGACATGTAACTGAAATGTGCAGGATCCCTCTGCTTGATGACACAGAAAGAAAGGACTAAGCTGAAGTTGCCAGGTATGCAGCTAAAATGTGAAGAGTGATTTGCAGAAAAGCAAAGAATGAGGAGGTACACAGACAGAGGCTGAGGTTGGAACTGCTCAAAGTATAGTCCTGCTTCAGAAATAACGTCTCTAGGGTTAGGGTATGTGGTCACTGATACTAGTACTAAGGAGCGAACAATTTGCTGGCTAAAACCATTTAGAAGACCCTCCAGATAATGGTTGTTCTTCCAAAATAGAAGTTACTAGCAATTGGAGGGAAGGAATGGGAATATTGGGAAGATGGGGAGAGGTACTGAGAAAGATATTCCCCAGATTGTGTGGGTAATCCTCTTCTCTTTTCAATCTTGTCCCCAACAGCCAGCTACCCTGATGTCCTGCAGTGTCTGAAGGCGCCCATCCTATCTGACAGCTCTTGCTCAAGTGCCTATCCAGGCCAGATCACCAGCAACATGTTCTGTGCAGGCTACCTGGAGGGAGGAAAGGACTCTTGCCAGGTGAGCTGCTTCGCACTCCTTGTCCTTCCCACTCAGCCTCATGTGTCTCCACCACATTTCCCAGTTCCTGAAACTCAGAACACTGAAAAGCTGTCTCTGGGACTGATTATGGGGGCCCAGAATAGGCTGGGGAAAAATAATAAGTTTTCTTTTTGCCTTACTAATGGTTAAGGTTCAGGGGGAAAGATAGACAGATTGTGTGCAAGCAGTGCATCCTGGTGCCCTTCGGAGGAGAGATGTAGGAGCAGGGAACTTTGAAAAAAGCCTGGCTGGATGGGCAGCCTTGAGCTTCCCATTCCTCATCTCTTCTTGGCCTCACAGACCCATAGCTGAGGAAAACAGGGAGAGAGAAGGAGGGAGGAGAAGAGTAGGGGCACAATGTGGAGAATGAGAGTTGACTTCCCAGGGAAAGAGATGGGCTTCCTGGAGGATCAGCACTTGGAAATGCGGTCCCCAGGGAAGGGAGGAACACCTTGGGCCTTTCTCCCCCCGGGCAGAGCTGCAAGTTCTAACGGGCTCTTCCTTCTCGCCCAGGGTGACTCTGGCGGCCCTGTGGTCTGCAATGGAAAGCTCCAAGGCATTGTGTCCTGGGGCTATGGCTGCGCTCAGAGAAACAAGCCTGGTGTCTACACCAAGGTCTGCAACTACGTGAGCTGGATTCAGCAGACCATCGCTTCCAACTAAACAGCTTCATCTCTTCAGGACCCTCCCTGTTAGCCAGCTTCACCTTCCTCCCATCCTGAAAGCACTACTGAAATAAAATCATTTATATAATCAAATATGTTCAGGGGTCATTAGTTGGTTTTTATGTACTCCCTCTTCAGTCTGGCTTCTGAGAAGACGGCGGACAAAGAGTTGAACTATTTATTATATGAAGATGGAATTTGAAAGGTGATTTCATCATTCATTCAGTCTCATCAAAATAAATTACTGCTCACTTACCATATGCAAGGCTCTGTGGATATTGAGGCTATGAAGATGAATAAGGTTATCAGTCTCTGTTACCATCACATTGTTGCACAGATAATGACACTGAAATCAGAACGTTAAAACCAACAGCCCAGAATCACTGGTCTAGCTATGAGGCTGAGATGAAGCCTCAGCTGTCTTTATTTTTCTTGTATATTTATTTATTTTTAATTTGAGGATAACTGCTTTACACATTGTGTGTCTTCCTCCGTATATCAACATGAATCAGCCATAGGTATACATATGTCCCCTTCCTCTTGAACCTTCCTTCCCAGCTGTCTTTTTTCTCAACCCCTTGCTACTGCCATGACTTCCCTCTCTTCCTTCATCTCTTATCTACCTGAAACTCTGAGACTAGGTTAAGGGAAAGGCTAGATGGAAAATGTTTTAAAAAGTAACAGTTCCTATATTTCCCTAGGCTTCACCTACCTGTTTCTTTCATTCTCCAAGATGTTCTTCTTTTCCATCAGGAATTTTATTGCTCCAGCAGGCATGATTCCTGCCAGCAGGCTGTATCCCTCTCCCACACTAGACCACCCCCCAAAACTCCAGCCCAAGTATGTACCATTTTGAACTATAATTTTTTAAAAAGGTGAAAATGTAGATAAGTTTGTGGGAAATTGATCCATTACCCTGAGGTTATAAAAGTCTAGGCTACAAGGGTGTTGCTCTCTGTTCTTTTCAATCTTATCCCAAGAAGAAGCACAGACACCTCCTTTAGCCCCTCAACACTGTTCCCTGGATCATTTAGAGAATGACTAGGAGTACAGGTCCCAACACATGATTCCTATGTGTATTTGATATGAATCAAGAAAAAAGGTGCTTCCCAGGTGGCGCTAGTGGTAAAGAATCTGCCTGCCAATGCAGGAGACATACAAAATGTGGGTTGGATCCCTGGGTCAGGAAGATCCCCTGGAGGAGGGCATGGCGACCCACTCCAGTGCTCTTGCCTTGAGCATCTCATGGACAGAGGAGCTTGGGGGGCTATGGTCTCTAGGATCGCAAAGAGTTGGACCAGACAGAAGCAACTTAGCACACAAACACAGGAAAAAAGATACAATATGGTCTAAACATAAAAGCACTGGAATAGGCAGAGGAAGTCTGAAAGGTAAAAATGTTTATAATCCCCAGTAGGATCACATAATATGGTAATGAACGGGTGTTATCTTAGTTGGTACTCTATAACCAGAAAACTACAGATTGAGTGGCTTGAATAACAGACATTAGTTACAGTGTTTGAGGCTGGAAAGTCCAAGATCAAGGTGACACAGGAGGGGGCCCAATTTCTGGCTTATAGATAGCTGCCTTTTTGTAAACACATATGTGAGAGAACCGACTCTGATCCTTTAGTAGGGGCGAGTAGAATGCAACCAATAGCACACAGCTGTTACCCTGTTACCAAGCAACGATTACTATGAGATCATTAGAAGGAGACCTTTCACCTGGTGGGTGGAAGTTGCCCTTGGCCAATGGTTGGCTGTGTTGTGGTCCTCCCAGAGGAGAGTGTGGTAAGGGGTAAGTGGAGGCCTTCTCCCCGAGCCCCTCCAGGCCCTCCCACCTTGAGCGGGCAGGTAAGTTGGGTGGGCCGGGGGGACAGGCTGGGGGCTGGGTCCTGCAGAGCTCTGGAGCCCTCACTGCGGCCCCCCACTGGCTGGAAGAATCTCTCTGCCATCACTTCCTCTGCAACCTAAAGGCCGGGACTGTCTGCATGGGTCCACAGTACCCACCCACCCCACCCCCACTTTGGGTGGCCTGAGGAGCCTGAGGGCCAGCTGGGTCCTGGGCACCTGGCACCCTCAGTGATGACAGCTGGGCAGGGTCTGGGATCTGGTCCCAAGGGAGCCAGGTGGGATCTGTCTCATCAGCTAGGCCTGGGCACTAATGGGGAGATGCAGATTGGACTCTGTTTGAATGCTCCAGGTAACCAACTGGGCAGGCACCCTTTCTTCTTAGCCAGGGCCTGGACCTTGGCAGGCGAAAGTAGAGCCTTGGGACCTTGCCCTTTCTTGTCAGAACAGAGAATAACATTTGTTTTGGTGGAGATTTACAGCAACGTGGCGATGGACCATGATCTTACCTTAAGAACAAAGGGTCTGACACCAAGATGTCTGTAACAACTAACCACACCCCATCCCTCACCTTTCTTATAAAAGGGCTTTGCTGACAGCTTTCAGGGAGCTTGGGGTTTAAGCCAAACTCCATGTTTAAGCCACCTGTTTCCTTGCATGGCCCAGCAATAAACTTTTCTCTTCTCCAAACTCGAATGCTTTGCTAGTGTTCGGCTTCATTGTGCGTTGGCGTAGGGACTTGTGTTCGGTGAAAGTATCGCCTTCTTGAAAGACCTCTAATTCCATCATGGGGGCTCCACCTTTATGACCTTATCTAAGTCTTCCTTCCCTCTTAAAGAGATGGGAATACCAGACCACCATACCTGCCTCCTGAGAAATCTGTATGCAGGTCAGGAAGCAACAATTATAACGGGACATGGAACATGGAGTGGTGCAAAACTGGGAAAGGAGTACGTCAAGGCTGTATATTGTCACCCTGGTTATTTAACTTATATGCAGAGTACATCATGAAAAATGCCGGGCTGCATGAAGCACAAGCTGGAATCAAGATTGCTGGGAGAAATATCAACAACCTCAGATACGCAGATGACACCACCCTTACAGCAGAAAGCAAAGAGAAACTAAAGATCCTCTTGATGAAAGTGAAAGAGGAGAGTAAAAAAGCTGGCCTAAAACTCAACATTCAAAAAACTAAGATCATGGCATCTGGTCCCACCACTTCATGGCAAATAAATAGGGAAACAATGGAAACAGTGACAGACTTTATTTTCTTGGGCTTCAAAATCACTGTGGACAGTGACTGCAGGCATGAAATTAAAGGATGCTTGCTCCTTGGAAGAAAAGCAATGACTAACCCAGACAACATATTAAAAAGCAGAGACATTACTTTGCCTACAAAGGTCCCTATGGTCAAAACTATGGTTTTTCCAGTAGTCAGGTACAGATGTGAGAGCTAGATGATAAAATAGGCTGAGTGCCAAAGAACTAATGCTTTTGAACTGTGGTGCTGGAGAAGACTCTTGAGAGTCCCTTGGACAGCAAGGAGATAAAACCAGTCAGTCCTATAGGAAATCAACCCTGAAAATTCATTGGAAGGACTGATGTTGAAGCTGAAACTCCAATACTTTGGCCACTTGACATGAAGAGCCAACTCATTGGTAAAGACCCTGATGCTGGGAAAGATTGAAGGCAGAAAGAGAAGGGGGCGACAGAGGATGAGATGGTTGGATGGTATCACTGACTCAATGCACATGAGTCTGAGAAAACTCCAGGAGATGGTGATGGACAGGGAAGCCTGGCATGCTGCAGTCCATGTGGTTGCAAAGAGTCGCACACGACTAAGCAACTGAACAAGAACAAAGCCAAAGGTTCTACCTTCTCATAACATCTCCTTGGGTGTTAGACTTGGATTATATGAATTTTGATGGTCAGGAATACAAATATGCAGTCCATAACAGGTATCTTAGAAGAGGAAGGTTTGGCAAGATGCATATTACTTTTACCAATTTTCTATGCCTTTGTATACCTCTGGATGGCACATTTGTACCAAGCAATCCTGAGGTCTTAATATTGCCTTATCATGCCACTAAGATGGAGCCCAAATTCCTTAGCCTTGAATTCAAGGCTCTTAAATGTTCAGTTATAACTAAGCTGCCCTGTGTATTTCCTTCGTTGTTATTGAATTGCGTTTATGTTTTCTTATGGCCTAAAATAATTTCACACGTAACTCTTTTTTTTTTAGTGCTATCTTATATCTATCTTATCTAAACATCTCAGGCTTCCCTACAGAAACAAATGAATTTCAAGATTTTCTTGTACCCTGTGAAATGTTTTTTTACCCCACCCATCACCACCACCTATTCACCAAATCACCTCAGCCCCCTTGCCTGTATCTAGGGAGAAAGCAGCTTTTCCCCCAGAAGTCCCTGTCAAATATCATATGTGTCTCCTCAATTGAATCTGGCCACTTGCATATATATAATTAAGCCAATCACTGAAGGAGATTATACTGTTGAAAATTATAATCAAGTTACATGGCATACCATCCAAGCAAGGAGTAGACTTTTCATTTTTCAATAAACATGGTCTACTTGATATATATTTGGTTAGGGCATCTTGATGAAAGTGAAAGAGGAGAATGGAAAAGTTGCCTTAAAGCTCAACATTCAGAAAACTAAGATCATGGCATCTGGTCCCATCACTTCATGGCAAATCGATGGGGAAACAGTAGCAGAATTTATTTTGGGGGGCTCCAAAATCACTGCAGATGGTCAGCTATGAAATTAAAAGATGCTTGCTCCTTAGAAGAAAAGTTATCACCAACCTAGATAGCATATTAAAAAGCAGAGACATTACTTTATTGACAAAGGTCTGTCTAGTCAAAACTATGGTTTTTCCTGTAGTTGTATATAGATGTGAGAGTAGAACCATAAAGAAAGCTGAGCACTGAAGAATTGATGCTTTTGAACTGTGGTGTTGGAGAAGACTCTTGAGAGTCCCTTGGACTGCAAGGAGATCCAACCAGTCCATCCTAAAGGAAATCAGTCCTGAATATTCATTGGAAGGACTGATGTTGAAGCTGAAACTCCAATACTTTGACCACCTGATGTGAAGAGCTGACTCACTTGAAAAGACCCTGATGCTGAGAAAGATTGAAGGCAGGAGAAGGGGATGACAGAGGATGAGATGGTTGGATGGCATCACCAACTCAATGGACATGAGTTTGAGTAAACTCCAGGAGCTGGCGATGGACAGAGAGGCCTGGCGTGCTGCAGTCCATGGGGTCGCAAGGAGTCAGACATGATGGAGCAACTGAACTGAACTGAGTAATTCTAAGGTTAGCTATCAAAAAAGTGGAGGAGTGTATGTTAAGGAGGCATCCACAATCTCCACCGGAGTAATCATGGATGCTTATTGATGTATTTTTCTACATAACACTGGAAATCTGGAAATAACTCAAATACTCATTAATAGAAGATTGATTAAATAAACCTGGTATGTTGTACAGTGGAGACAATATATCTATTCATTTATCCAACCACTTACTTAACTTACTGAGGGTCGGTCTATTACATGCCTAACAATGTATTATCCACTAAAGATACATACAACAGGGAACAAAACAGTTAAAACCCTGCCTTCACGGTGTATTCATTCTCACTGGGTAAACAGAAAACAAATAGAGACTACAGAATATAATGCCAATCAATGCAAATGCCACAGGAAAGGAAAACTGGATCAGAGAATGGACAGATGGGAAGCAAAGGTCTGCTTCCAAAATGTAATCAAAGAAAAACATCAAAAGGCCTATGAAAGCATACTACAATTTAAATAAAAATCCATACTGTAGGGTCAGAAAAGGTATCTCTCCCCAAACTGTGTTTACAACAAATAGATACCTAATTCACAATTCAATAAAATCCAGAAAGACATGATATTTCATAGCAAAAATAAGGCAATGTACAACAACAACAAAGAGGTAACAGTCTGAGATTAGCAAAAGTTTCTTTGCTTCCTGTCTCATTACAATAACAGATACATTTATTTTATTTATCACTTGCTCTGAAAACTAAGTTGGCTGCCAGCTGCCAACTTCATGGTTAGGACCTTCAATAGCTATGTAAAAGTAATCTTTGCACTTGAAAGTTTAGTTTCTTAATGTAAATGTATTTCATATGGGAAATATAAGCATGGTAAAGGTAAATTCACTCCAAATTGGTACACTCCATAATCTATTGGTTTTCCCATTAACAAGCAAAGAATTTCAAGGGATACTCAAGATGAATTTATCTAAAAATATTTGCTTTAATAAAGTAAATAGAAGCCTCTTTTCCACTAAAGCTTGGGAGTAACCAAGATGTCTATCCTATGACATAGGTACTAATATTCCTCCCACTTTATAGATTAGAATACTGAGGCTTAAAGAGGCTGGATGCTTTTATCATGACAAGACAGCTAAAAAGCCCTAAAGCCAGGAATTGAAGCCTGAACTAACCCCTGAGTCTATGCTCTTCACTGCTATTAATACATATGGAAATTTTACAAAGTTTTAAGGACTTAAGAGCAGTATTTGGACATAAAGAGCAAAAGATATCCCCAGAAACCTGGAAAATATGGGGATCCTAAGGTTATTGTTATTTAACAAGTGTTTACATAGCATTGCTATTTACCATTAGAACTCACTATTCTAAGCACTTTATAAATAGAAAATCTGAACAGGCCAATAACAAGTAAAGAGATTGAGTCAGTAATCAAAACCTCTCAACACAGAAAACAAGACAGGATCAGAGAGCTTCACTGGAGAATTCTACCAAACATTCAGATAATGAACAACAACCCTTCTCAAACTCCTCCAAAAACTGAAGAAGAGAGAACACTTCCAAACTCATTCTACAAGGCCAGCACTATCCTGATATCCAAGCCAAAAACAACCCAAGAAAACTATAGACCAATATCCATGATTGAACCCATTATTAGTAACGTATCTTGGCTGGGGCAGTCAGAAAGTTAAGGCTAACTTATAAAAAGGAGTGGGGTACATTAAAAAGAGTAGCAAGTGTCCAACACAAAAACTGAACAGGCAAGGAGATTCATTTTATTCAGATTACTGCAACAAGAGGAACATCCTGGATTTGAAGATCAGAGTGTCTCGGCAGAATGATTTTACCTTAAGACTTTTGTAGGGAGATATATACAAGTAACAGCTGGAGAGGTGAACAGTTGAGGTTGTTTTACAATCAGGGAATTCTCAGTCAGTTGAACAGGAAGTGTTTATCTCTAGTTGTAGTTAGATTTGTTGTGGGGTGGGGGTAACAGTTGCGAGCTCAGCTAATCATTGATGAGAGACGGATTGGGGAATTGGAGGGTCCATGTCTGGCCATGTCAGTGGGTTCAGGTAAAAAAGGGAAAATGTCTGTGATTGACCTTGTCACAGATCAACAAATAAGTCATCCAAAGTCCTGTGGGAGCCCTGAGAAAGAGTAGGCAGAGTCTCTTCAAACTAACGTGGGGAAGGGTCATTCTTTGTGGAAAGCCATTTCTCAGCAGACAAAATTTCCAAAACTTTTTCACCCACCACTGTGTTCTGGGAGCACGGGACTCAGGTACAATTCAACACATCAGAGGAAATCTGGAGACTCAGTTCCAAGTCCTAATTTTGCTGCTAACTTCCATGAGGACCACAGCATCCTCATACCTAAAATGGGGAGGGGAGGATGCCTTGCTAACTTTACTTCATTACCCCAATGTTTGATGAGTCTCTGAGAACAGAAGAGGGACTCTTGGGGAAACGGAGATGACAAGTGAGGGCAGGGAATAAGGTTCACAGCCACAAAGGGAGGAGGGGACAGCAAAGAATGGCTACGTCACAGAAAGGGGCAGGAAGTGTCAGCAGGTGCATCGTGACTCCTGAGACCTGTAGGGTCAGAGAAGAGGCACCAGGGGCTGGACTTGCCCGCCCCTTCTTCTCTCACCCACATCATAGCCAGCTCCCAGCTGTGCCTTGTATAACTGGATTTTGATAAGGGCTAGTTTGAAGATTGCTAGCATCCTTGCTCCTTCCCTACCCCCATAAAGCAATATTTCTCCCCCAGCTGTTCTTTCCAAGGTTACTTGGACTAAAGATTGAGACAGCTGAGAGCTTGATCTGACTTGTCTGCTGCTGGAGAGATCCCAGCCTGTCATGAAGTGCTGTGTCTTCTTCATGCTCATGAGTACTGCTGGTGAGTCTAGGTCTTGTTGCTGCTTAGGGAGTGATGTGATGTGTGGGAGGATGGGGCTTCCCAGGTGGTGCTAGTGGTAAAGAACTCACCTGCCAATGCAGGAGACATAACAGACATGGGTTCGAACCCTGGGTTGGGAAGATCCCCTGGAGGAGGGCACTGGAACCCACTCCAGGATTCTTGCCTGGAGAATCCCATGGACAGAGGAGCCTGGTAGGCTGTGGTTCACAGGGTCTCAAAGAGTCGGACACAACAGAAGCAACTAAGCATGCATGCACGCACATGGATCAGAGGGGAAGTAGCTGGCCAAAACTGAAGATAGAGGAGGTGGTGGGCATTTCCTTTGATTAACTGTTAATGGAAGTGAAAGGTACCACTCTTGATGCATGGCTCACCCCATCAACAGTCTCTCTAAGCAGCTTCTGCACCTGTGAGCAAGTTAGCATATGTCTTTATAAGTGTCCTGCACTCTCCCAGGACTCCTGGACAGACAGCAGAAAAGTACATCTTCCCTTTCTCTGGGCAGATGGACTCTGGAGGAGTAAGTGCAAGTTGGGAAGAGGGGTGAGTCAGGGGCTGTGAGAGCCTCAGGTCCCTCCCCCAAGGCCTTCCACTCCTTTCAGCACCAAAGTCAGGGAGGATTTAACTTTTTACTTTCATTCCTGGCAAAAGTGAATTTAGAATAATATTTTTAACATAGTAAATCTTTTTTTTTTTTTTCATTTTTGTTATACACAACACTGCCAACCAGAGTTTATGATCAGCCTCAGATACACCTTTGCATTAGTTTCACAGAACTTCAGTATACCTCCATCTCAAGCAAAGACGTGTGTCAGTTTTCTTAATGTGTAGAGCTTGGGTGACATGCATGATCTCCCTTAGAAAAATGGGACAGATGAACCTATTGCAGGGCAGGCATAGAGAGGCAAACACAGAGAAAGGAACGGTGGGCCGGACAGGGGAAGGAGAGGGTGGGATGAATCGAGAGTAGCATTGACATACACACATTACCATGTATCATATATTAATAGATGGCTAGTGGGAAGCTTCTAGTGGGGTAGCTAGTGGGATAGTGCAGGATAGCACAGCTCCATGCTCCGAGATGACCTGGAGGGGCAGGATGGAGGCGAGAGCGAGGGAAGGTCGAGAGGGAGGGGACATATGTATTCTGATAGCTGCTTGGAGTTGCTGTACACCGGAAGCTAACACAACACTGTAAAGCAATTTTCCTTCCATTAAAATAAAATAGGGGAAAATGGCTCCCCACTCACTTTCACTTTTCACTTTCATGCATTGGAGAAGGCAATGGCAGCCCACTCCAGTGTTCTTGCCTGGAGAATCCCAGGGATGGGGGAGCCTGGTGGGCTGCCGTCTATGGGGTCGCACAGAGTCGGACACGACTAAAGCGACTTAGCAGCCGCAGAAGACTATTTTAGTTTGAAAACCTTAGGGTGGGAAAAACTATCCTAGCCAACTCTCACCACTTGCCCTGTCTCTCTACCTGTGACCCCTCTGATTCTTTAGGAGTCATTCTGGCAGAAACTTCTAACACTGAGAAGACAAATGAAGTAGATTTTACTATTCCTTATATGGTCTACCTGCAGTCCTTCCCAGAGCCCTGTGTGGGGACACTTATTCACCCGCAGTGGGTACTGACCGCTGCGCACTGCCTCTCTCCGTAAGTATTTCTCTGCTCTTGGGAGTCAGGGGGGAATCTATTTAAACAAAAGCAGGTCTGAGGACAGTATGGAGATTCCTTTAAAAATTAGGAATAAAACTACAATATGATTCAGCAGTCCCACTGCTAAAACATACCCTGAGGAAACCAAAATTGAAAACCACACATGTACCCAAATATTCATTGCATCATTATTTACAATAGCTGGGACACAGAAGCAACTTAGATGTCCATCGACAGATGAATGAAGAAGCTGGGGTACATATATACAATGGAATATTACTCAACCATAAAAAGGAACACATTTGAGTCAATTCTAATGAGGTGGATGAACCTAGAGCCTATTATACAGAGTAAAGGAACCCAGAAAGAGAAAAACAAATACTATATATAAATGGATATTTGTTGGATCTAGAAAGACAGTACTGATGAAACTATTTGCAAGGCAGCAATGGAGAGGCAGACATAGAAAACAGATTTATGGACACAGGGGTGAGGGGGGGGAAGGAGAGTGTGGGACAAATACAGAGAGTAACATTGAAGCATATACACTACCATATGTAGGACAGATAACTGATGAGAATTTGTTCTATGACTCAGGGACCTCAACCCGGTTGAGTTTGGATGAGACATGGGAGGTGGGAGGAAGGTTCAAGAGGGAGGGGACATAGGTATACCTATGGTTGATTCATGTTGATATATGGCAGAAACCAACACAGTATTGTAAAACAATTATCCTTCACTTAAAAATACATAAATAAATTTAAAAAGCAGGTCTTGTGAGGCATCCTAGCATGTTCTAACGGCATCCCAGGGAATCAGAAGATCCAGGAAGAGAGAGTCATCTTCCCAATGAAGAAAAAGATACACACTTGGGCAGTTTAGGAGGAGATGAAGAGGAAGATGTCAAAAGTCTCTTTCTCATGCAAAATAAATAATAGACATCCATCCAACCTACTTGAGGGCTTCCCTGGTGGCTCAGATGGCAAAGAATCTGCCTGCAATGCAGGAGACCTGGGTTCGATCCCTGGGTCGGGAAGATCTCCTGGAGAAGGGAATGGCCACCCACTCCAGTATTCTGGCCTGGAGAATTCCACGGACAGAAGAGCCTGGCAGGCTACAGTCCATGGGGTCGCAAAGACTCAGACACATCTGAGGGACTAACACTTTCAACTTTCATCCAGCATACTTCTGGAACATTTACCATATTCCAGGGACTGCATAATGAACTGAAAAAACAGCAAGGGAACAAGATGGTAATTAGTTTTCCCTCACGTAGCTCACATTCTGGTAGAGGAAATATGCCAAAGCAAATAAAAGTCCCAAAACAAAACATTGAAATGAGTATATTGCCAAGCTGCAATATACAGGAATGAAACAAGATGCCTACTTCAGTTAGGGTGATTGTATCAGGTCTGTTTGAAGAGATGAAACCTACACGAAGAGGAGGATGAAACCAGGTTGAATACATTCTGGGGGAAATTTCAGGCAGAGGGAAGAGTGTACAGAAAATCTCATGAGTAGGGGTGGGTGTTCACAGGCTGAGGTTGAAGTGTTAGGTGGAAGCCATGTGATGCAGGGAAGAGAGGAGTGAATGAGCTCTGCACGAGATGATGCTGTCCTTTACAAACCTGTGTCTCTGTCGTGTGTGACAAAGTGTCAGATAATCGGAACCTAGTCAGAGTTTCAGCAATGTATAACGGTCACTTCTAACTCAGTTTTCAGCCATCTGGTTGTTCAAGACAGTTCATTCAAACACAGATTGAAGCCCTGCTTTGTGTCAGTGAGAAATACAGAGGAAACATAGACAGGAAATATAGTCCATCCACTCCAAGAACTGGCGTTGGAAAATCGGATTTTCTTCTCTCAGCCAGACCTAATGCACAAACTATCTTTTGGCAGGCAGTGGCTCTTGTGTCTGTTACATGACCGGACTCCTGGCAATAGAAGTGGGTGGGTTTAAATTTCTCCAGGAAACATAATAGACAGTGGGTCAGTGGGAGTCCTGTTAGACTGCTAAGAGTCTTTTGAATCTATAATCAGTGTAGGCAGCTTGCAGTAAATACAAAGATATGGGCCCAAAATAAGCTGGAAAGGGCCTAAGAATATCCAGAAACTGCAGGTACAATATACTTGCTCCAGAGTTGTTTCAGACAGTGGAGGGCAGGCAAAGACCTCTGGAATAATGGATTCTGGTGCCATATCTGTTACCTATTCATTCAGATTATCCAGGTTGTCGTTGTGATCATTAACATCATCGACAGCAACAACTAGATCCCACCGAGTATGTTCTAGGTGGCAGATACCATGTCAGATTGTATGTATATACATTGACTCTAATACAACAATCCTGTAAACTATTGTTCCTACTATTTTACAGGCCAAGGCAGGTCACTTTGGTTCTCAGGTCTAAGAAATAAAATGAAGATGATTAGATGATTAAAGAAAGTCACCTATGAGACTTCTTGCAGTTCTGACATTCTGTAACCCTTTTTCTTGTTTTCTGTTTTTTTTTTAATCTCCCTGCCTTCCTTCTTCCATAGTGTTAAAATCCGATTGGGAATTTATCAACCCAACATCAAAAATCAGCACGAGCAGACCCAGAGTTACTCAATGACTGTGCCCTACCCTGACTTCAACTCAGAATATCTGAGCAATGACCTGATGATGATAAAACTGTCTGAGGCTGTTAAACTCACCACCCAAGTGGGAACCATAGCCATAGCTATGGAACCCTTATCACTTAATGAATCCTGCTTTATCCCAACCTGGACCTGGAGTAAATATAAAAACCGTAAGTGTTTGACTCCGTGTTCCTCATCCTGAGAAGGTTTTGGCGCTGGGGAAAATGAAGAGGGATATACCTGAAGCACGTCTCAGGTGTGGCTCAGTGGTAAAGAATCTGCCTGCAGTGCAGGAGATGCGAGAGATGAGGATTCAGTCCCTGAGTTGGGAAGGTCCCTGGAGGAGGGCGTGACAATCCACTCCAGTATTCTTGCCTGGAGAATCCCATGAACAGAGGATCCTGGCAGGTTCATGGGGGTCACAAAGAGTCACACATGAGCTCACAGCACACACGTACACGAAGGACTTAGCTTATACCACCTTATACTACCATTATCCTCCCTTTCATTAACAGAGGATACTAGAACCACTGCTTGATATCTGAAATGATAAAGCTGAGCTTATTGCTTATTATAGAAGAGCAATGCTGAGCAGACACAGTCTTAATGAGCAGTACAGAGTACTAAGCCGTGCTCACATGAGGTTTGTGGGAAGCTTTCCACTAAGAGTTTGGAGGACTTTCAGAGGCTGAAGAGAGTTTATGTCATCTGTAGAGGCTTGATTACCTGGGTGAGATTGTTGTTGATTGATTGGCACTCAGTTGTTTATTGGAGGAGTCTAACATGCTGACTTTAAAGAGTGACATTGACTGATTGGCTTGTTAAAGCCTACTCACTAAGGCAAGTTGTGGATAGTAATCAGGTTTAAACCTTTCTCCTATAGTTACAGAACAATTCATATATTCTATAAAAACAAATAAAAAATAGGAGACTGTTTGGTCTATCAGTCTGTTTTGTAAAGGTAACAAGTGGGAACTTTTATATGGTCAGTGCCAGTGAAATTTGGCAACTTCAGTTTAGAAGCAGCATTCTAGAGAATTTAAGTGAATATATTTTCTGAACAAATTGAAGCTTTTAAATCTTATTCAAAGTAACTGCTTCACATTTTAGAAAGTAATTTACAACATACCACTTGAAAACAAAATAAAACTACAAAAAGTGTCATCACATAGGCTCTGCATGTCATGTCAGAATCACAGTGACAAATCAATTCTATAAACTCTCTAGGACCAGCCTCCCAATATTTATTAAGAATTCACTATTTCAAGTAAGTAGGTTACTTTCACCTAACTTGTTCTAAGTATTTCAATTAGATTTCCAAAAAAGTTAAAACTGAACATAACTCTTCTCATCCTTTTCTGACCTGACACTTCCTGGTCTGATTTGATTTAAAACATTAGATTGGAAATGTATCCAAAATATTCCGCTTTATAAGTAATGCTAGGTTTAACTTGAGAGATCTCTAGTCGATTTTTTGCTTCCTTCCTCCTTATTACTCTCCACCAGAGATTGAAATTACATAATGTGTTGGTTAGGCTCCTTACAACCTGAGGTTAACAGTATAGTAACATCTGCAATATGTGAGATGAGCAATGTTACTTCTTAGGGGAAATTATATATGTGTATTTATACATATACATACACACTTATAAATAACCCACTTATAAATGGTCTCACAATAAAAAAAGCAGTTTAAAACACATTAAAAATCATTTTCTCCCTTTATGATTAAATGAAAGATGATGAAGTAGGTCCCCAAAAGGAAGGTTTCTTATGGACAACAGCTTCTGTCTCTCTCTCCTCACAATCATTCATAATTTTCCTGTGGGTTTTTTAAGCTTTCCAAGTTATGCACAGTACAGAGAGAATTATAGATCTGATGATATCTGATGTAAGACTCATGTAATGCTTTGAATCCACTGCTCAGACACAGAGATACTGAACAAGGGGCTCTAAGAAGGATGGAATGTCTGATACCTACTATAAATATATACAATGTATTCACAAAACAGAGGTTGATCACAAGAGTATATGTGATAAGGAGAGTCACCCTGGACTTTTCTCTTTCTCACAGTTAGTGACCCTGACATCCTGACGTGGATAAGCCAATATACTCGTCCCTACGATGAGTGCCAGAATATGCAAGACGAAAGAATGTCAGTAAACATCATGTGTGTGGGGCACCCTCTAAAGACCCTAACTGATACTAAGGTATCTTTCCTATCGCCAGATAAGCACAGAGCAAGGGGTCCATGAGAAAAGGCGCTTGTAGGAAACCAAATGGTATCCAAAAGAAGGCCTGCGGTCTTCCTCTGACTCCTCAGTCTGTGGATTGGTCATCCATTCCCTGCCTTCCTTTAGAGTGGGAGGGAGTCAGGGGAGAGTCATTTGTCCTTTTTCCTCCTACTTGCACTCAGATTGGTCAAATTCAAACCTAGAGAGGTGAGACCTGCATGGATGTGAAGAGAGGGTACTCCCCTCTCAAGAAAAGTGATTCCAGTCTGATAGAAGGTTCTGCTATCACAATGTGCCCCTTCTTAGAATAAATCCTTGTTGGATGAGGAACAAAGCAACACTGACCCCCTGTCCCCTCTCTCTGGCAGGAAGTCTCAGCAGCTCCAGCCATCTGCAGAGGGAGGGTACATGGAATCTTGAGTTGGGCAAAAGGAAGTGTCACCCTTGGAAATGAAGGATTCTTCACAGAAATCAGTTCTTATTCAAGATGGATCATGAGCATCATTGAAAACTACTGAGGTGTCTCTCAATCCCCTCAGTGCACTACCTTCATGATTTCCACCCTGGATCTACAACTCTCTTTATTATGTTTCTTGTTCTTGAGCAGAATTCATTAAAAAGAAATGACACTAAAAACTTAGGCTATGACACTAAAAACTTATTCCTTTATCATATAAACTATAAACATGATGAGAAATCTAGCAACATTCCCAGCCATTTGTTCATTCAAAAATTGTTGAAATGTCTGATATTTGGTAGGTGCTGCATATGTCTGGGGCTTTCAGGTGGCTTAGTGGCAAAGAATCCACCTGCAACGCAGGAGACACAGGAGATGCGGGTTCAGTCCCTGAGTCAGGAAGATCCCCTGGAGGAGGAAATGGCTACCCACTCCAGTATTCTTGCTGAGATAATCCTATGGGCAGAGGAGCTTGGAGGACTACAGTCCATGGGGTTGTAAAGAGTTGGACACAATTGAGCAACTGAGCATGCATATGCTAGGGGTACATGAGTAGACATAATGCAGACTTTGTCATCAATTAGCCAGTTCTATTACCTGGTGATAATTACTGCAGTGGAGATGAGCAATAAGTTGCGTGAGAATATAGGAAAAAATCAGGGTGTCAGAATCACAGGAGGTACCACCCAAGAGGCCAACAAATTAGAGGAGAATATTATAAAACTGAGGTATACTTAGGTAAAAGTCAGAAAAGCATAAAAACCATTATGTTCTGGAAAATACATGTAAGTAAGTAATACTGAAGTGTGGAAAATAAATTGTTCATAGAAGAGAAGACAGAATGTGACAGAAAAGTATTATTTATGCAGGTAAGGGTAAGATAGCAAAAGGCCTGACCTGTTTGGTAAAGGAATTTAGATTTTTTTATCTTGTAGGTATCAGAGGCTTAGTCATTAAAGCCACCATGATAAATAGAACGTCAAATGTCTGAATTGGGGGATGTAAGAACACAGAGTCTGTAAGCTTTAAACACAGTGACTGTGAGTGGAAACAGAAGGGGCGGAGTCAGGGATCACCCCTGTTTCCAACTTGAACAACAAGGTAGATGGTGGTTCTGCTGCTGCTGCTGCTAAGTCACATCAGTTGTGTCCGACTCTGTGCGACCCCATAGACAGCAGCCCACCAGGCTCTCCCATCCCTGGGATTCTCCAGGCAAGAATACTAGATGGTAATATAAAGAGAAGTAATGTTTCCATCTGTAATGGATCAGGAGCAAGGTGGGGCATGTTATATTTGAGATCCTTGAAGGAAACACAGGTGGCCATTTCTAGCAAAGATCTGGATCTCAGATGATAATGAAGCAGTGAGGTGGCTTCTAGGTTTGTAGGCAGTATGTGCGGACTTAGGTAAAGTTCTGTGCTATTGGCAGGAGCTTTGATCCATGCTCAGGGTGTCTCTCACACTGGTGTGAAGTGGCAACGCACAGCATCCCAAACCCGTTGACCAGGACACATAAAATTACTGCATTGAGAAGATGTCAAATGACCCAAAAACAGGGGATCGAGTGATACATGAGAGGCTATGGAGTTACATATAGGAGAGGGACAGCATGACATGGGATTATCTGTTAAGAAGGGAAAAAGGAACAGAGATGAGCAGAGAGACTCACCCCAGAGGAGAAAAAGACTGCAGAGAGTGAAGAGATTTGGAGTTTATCTCATGAGGGACATGGTGAATCTGTGTCTGCAGAGATGGCTGAGGCGGTTTGGTTTTTTTATATTGATACCCTCTGAGTGTGGATGCATTTCTCTCCTATCAAAGCAAAGCAAAACAAAATAAAACAGCAACAAAACAGGAAAAAAGATGGCTGGGTTATGATGAACATCACAGCTTATCCTGGCACATACAGGAAAACCAAATTCTCAGATTTGGACACTAAGCCCATTTAATTCAACAATGCTTCTTTTTCTTGTCATCTTTGGTCCACCTAGACCACAAGCCCCTCTGTTCGCTGGTCTTCTACTGTGGGCTTGTCTCTAGTTACGCCCTGCTTCCTGCCTCTGACTCACTGACCAGTGACCCCAGCCCCCTTTATTGAATCACATCTATGTTCGTTCCAGAGTTTTTAAGAAAATGCTCATCTGATCACTTCTCTCGCTTTTTTCTTTTTAAATTGATCTATACTTGATTTACTACATTGTGTTAGTTTCAGGCATACAGCAAAGTGATCCAGTTAACTTCATGTAACTTTCAGTTGGGGCCTTTCCAGGTGGCTCCGTGGTAAAGAATGAACCAGCCAATGCAGGAGACACGGGTTTGATCCCTCGGTTGGGAAGCTCCCCTGGAGGAGGAAATGGCAACCCACTCCAGTATTCTTGCCGGGGAAATCCTAGAAACAGAGGAGCCTAGAGGCCTATAGTCCATGAGGTTGCAAAAGTCAGACATGACCCCATGAGCAGCTCACTCTTTGAGCCACTGAGCACTATTACTATTACTCTGCTTGTAGACAGAGGAAAGATCATATGATAATAAGTCGAGAGGCTGCTGGCCACAAACTGGAAAGAGAGCTCTCACCAGGAACTGAATGTGTTAATACCTTGATCATGCGTGTTTACTACAGCTGATTCCATCATTTTCTTCATGTTTTACTACAAAGCAACAGGTAATAAAAGTCTGTTGTTGAAGCCACCTGGCCTGTGGTGTTTTGTTATAGCGGCTTGGGCAGACTAATGCATTTGATAAACTGTTCAGATCTTTGGCCCACTTTTTAACCCGGTTGTTTGTTTTCCATATTGTTGAATTTTCAGATTCCATTGTATGTTTTGGATGTAAATCATTTAACAGATACATGTTTTGCAAATATTTCTCCCTAGAGAGGGATATATCTAGATTTTTAGCTCTGAATATTTTGTTTCACAATTGCCTGTTTATAGACCTGCTGTTCCCACTAGTCTATAACTCTTTGCAGTTGGGGCAGTGTCCTCACATCTGGGTACCTCTTACATGAGCATACAGCCTGGCACACATCAGACACACAGTGTAAATCACTGGCTGGCTGGCTGGCTGAGAGAATAAATGGATGAGTAGTGACACGGAAGAAAGGACTCATATATCTCAATGAGGAGTTTAGTGTCAGACAGATGGGTCAAGATCAGCCCCCGAGGGCGGGGTTATGGTCACTGGAAATAAATGTCAGTGTCACACAGATGAGGGTTAGCATCACAAAGGTAGGAGGAATCAGTCTGAAGTTCAGAGAGAGACAAGGTGTCTGAGACTTACACAGCAGGGAACACTGTGAGCTTCAGCATCTCTCAAATTAGGTGCATCTTTCCCTGAAGAGGGGGAGAGAAATGCTGGGTTCCAGATCCATTCTCCACTGTGTCGAGGACTGAGTCATCTGGTCTCTGTCGATGCACCTCTAATATCTGGCACCACATCCTACTCTTTGGGAACTCAAACCTGCAATTGAAAGAATTCAGATGACAGTTGTTCCAACTCTAGAATCCCTTCCTGCTCCATCTTAGTGTTCTTCTTTCCTTCCTTGGCATTCTTTTCAAGGCACTGAACCTCATCTTCAGAAAAGACTTCCAACATGATTATGAATTTAATCCTCCTGTGGGCTCTCTTGAACCTGCCTGGTGAGTATCTGCATATCTTTCTCCTTAATTGCCCAAGAGAAATCCTGAGGGAATCATGAAAGATGGGTGAAGACAGGAGCAAGGTTCCAGACTGCAAGCGCAGGACTGACTCTCCTTCAGAACTGCCGGTGTCCCCACCAAGTTTCTTCCTGCGTCTTTGCCTCAGAATGACTGCATGGGTGCTTTTGGGGGAGGCATGAACCCTGAAACCTGACCCTAGACTCTCTAAGGAAGACAGGGGTCTGACTCTGGGCCTGTGGAGAAGAGGACTGATGTTTGGTATGAGCGAGTGAAAAGTGGAGTCCAGGGTGGAAAAAAGTTTAGGTCTTGTCCAGACATGGTTCCAGTCATTCAAGCAAAAACCCTGGAGGTATTCATGAATATCCTCTTATAACCCACATTCAGTCTGATCAGAACCTGTTGCTGTCTCTGTCTTCTAAACATTTCCTAAATCCAATCACATGTCACCACCTCCACGGATCGCTATGGATCAAGACACCCTCTTCTGTCTTTACCAAATCATTCTCCTAACAGGACTCTTTGCTTTATATACCTACACGCCACACTTCTCTATAAGGAAATTATCATCACTCCTTTACACAATACCCTGATACGGTTCTATGTGTCACTTAGGAGACAAGTTCAAGTCCTTGCAATTCCTTACAACATCCCACAAAATCTTGTATCACCTCTTTGGCTTCTTTCCCTTCCTGCCTTTCTCCCTGTCCCCCACCCTGGCCTCTGTGATGTGCCTTAAACAGGCCTTAGGACTCTTGTTCCAGACATATTCTCTCACTGGAATTCCTTTCCCCAGATACCTGATTAACTCCCACATCTTCATACATTGCTCATCTCTCACATTGGTGCTGAGGTCTTCCCAACTGCTGATGCAATACTGCACAATGACCCCCACACACCCACACACAGGCACACCTCTGATACTGCCCCTGCCTTGCTCCCTGCACTAATCACCACTCAACACACTATACCACTGATGTATTCCTGCATTTACTATTACTGAACGTCTCCACTCATCAGAATGTATGACAGCAGGGGCAGATCCCTGTTTTGTTCACTATATAGCCCAAGCCCTTAGAGCCTGCCACATGCTAGATGCTCAATATTTATTTGTTGAATGAATGGTTACCTCCCTTCTCAGACTCTGTTAGCATTTGCTCTGTTCTTTAAATAACACTTATCATTCAGCCTTGCATTGTCAGGAGAAAGGGATAATATTGGCTAAAGCATTCTAAACATGGCAAAGATAGCAAGTTCTCCATGAGTCGATTTGCCATATGTCTACTGAATCTTGGAAGGTGTTTAAGGAAGGTTGTATTTGATCAATACTTTGAAGAACACATAATGACAACTAAATGGGAAAATACCTTTCATCTTATGAAATATATATTTTTTAATCATTTTCTTCATGTTTTAGAACAAAGTGATCCAGTTTACATGTTCAACTTACAGATAAAAAGCCTGGAGAGAAGGGTGGGGCAACGAGTCTGTTGAGTTCTCTTCCTTTGTCTTTTTCAAATAATGCTTGAAAAACAATCTCAGAATTTGTGCTCTGTGTGTCTCTGTCCAGTTGCTTTGACCTTTGATCCAGACGACAAAAATTCTATCACTCCCCCCTACCTGATCTACTTGAAGTCTGATTACTTGCCTTGTGTTGGAGTCCTGATCCACCCTCTTTGGGTGATCACAGCCGCACACTGTAACTTACCGTGAGTAATAAACCTCCAACGTCACCCTGTGCTTTGAGTTCTCAGGTTGGGCACGGACCAGAATCCTCCCTGGGCTCCTCTCAGCTAGATGGGATTTGAGAGACGTTCTGGGGATGTTCAGTAGTAGAGAAAAGGCTTTGGGGAGGAGCTCATCAAGACCTATAGTGTGTTAATTGTTTAGTCATACATCCAATTCTTTGTGGACCCATGGAGCTTGGACCACCAGGCTCCTCTGTCCATGGAATTCTCCAGGCAAGAAAACTGGAGCGGGTTGCCATTTCCTTCTCTAGGGGATCTTTCTGACCCAGAGATTGAACCCAGGTCTCCTGCATTGCAGGCAGATTCTTTCCCATCTGAGCCACCAGGGAAGCCCCATAAAGGTCCAGAAGGATGGATAATCCATATCTGTTCAGCCTTCTCACAAACATCTCTATTGTTCCAGGAAGCTTCAGTTAATACTGGGGCTTACAAAACCATCCAATATAAATGAAGAAAAATACATACAAGTGGTTGGTTATGAGAAGATGATTCATCACCCACAATTTTCCATCACTTCTATTGAGCACAACCTCATGTTAATCAAGCTGCAAACCCATATTGAACTCAACAACTACGTGAACACAGTCAGCCTGCCCAGAGAACCTGCCGCTGAAGACGACATGTGCACCATCTCTACCTGGGCCTACAACTTGTGTGATCTCTGTGGGTAGCTCTCAGAACCAGACGTGAGCCTCTCCTACTCCTAGTCTTTCTTAGCTTCTGCCATTTTTCCCACTGAACTTCCTTGTAACCTCTTCATTCATCCTTTCATCTTCTTTCCCTTCTCTAGAGTCTCACTGTAGGAGTCCTGAAAGCTTCTCTGTACCTTTCTACATCTTTGCTTTCATATCTGATAGACATGTTAGTGGAAAGAAGACATTTGTATTCTGGTCTTCATTTGCTGTATGACAACTGATTGGTCACTTTACCTTTGAAGCCTTAATTTTCTTAATTCTGAAATGAGGCATAACCTACATTAGATGGTTTCAAACCATCGCAGGCATTAAAGAAACGTAAAGCCCTGAAATAGAGCAAAATTATGCTTATGTAGTAAACATAAGATAAATACACAATATTGTGCTAAATCATGCAGAACTTCTTTATGCAAAATTGTGATACAGATCAACAATAGTTTAAGATTTTTAACTGGTAACATTTTAAAAATGAATATTCACCCACTTCATCAGAAAATTGGAAGGGATAAATTGAGAGATTGGAATTGACATATACACTATATAAATGAAATAGATAACTAATAAGGACCTATATATATAGTGCAGGTAAGTCTATTCAATACTCTGTAATGATCTATATGGGAAAAGAATCTTAAAAAGCAAGGATTTTTATATGTATATATAAATCAGTTATATGCATAACTAATTCACTTTGCTGTATGCCTGAAACTAACACAACATTATAAATAACTGTATTCCAGTAAAAAAAAAAAAAAGGAAAGTAGAAACTCCTTGTCCTTTGAGAGACAACTTGAGTTTTGGAAATAGGAAATGCTTTTCTGTTAAGCAGTATGTTTGATTTATCTGTGTTATATCATTTTAATAAAAAAGAGATGTAACTTACAAAAAAATGCAGTTTATTTTTATCTGGCTCATGAAGTAGTTAAGTAAGCATTTCTTAAAAAGTCCTTTCCAAAAGAAAAGTTGAGCTATACAGTTATTGCTAGACTAGAAAATAAGGCAAAGAACTTCAATCATTTTCTTTTAAAAACTTAATATATTATTTTCAAATAAAGTTACTCAAATAAACACACCTCTAAAAAGCAAAATCTCAAAATAATATACTTCCTCCCAAAGAAGAATCCTTGCCAAGAACACCTAACATGTGTATAGAAACTTTGTTCTTCTTTCTCTCATTTTGTTGCAGGTTGGAAAAATTTTGTTATGGATCTTCAGAGTTCACAATATGTGTGAACCATTGATATAAAGGAAATGATTTGAATTAGAAATGAGGAGACCTAGTTTCACATCCTAGGTTTATGGGTTTAAGAGAAACCACTTTTTGCATGATTTTTTTTTTTTTTAGCAGATACTGGATACTTTTGATCTGATGAATGAAAAACTAGGCTTAGATCTCTCTTAGTCTTTTCAGACTCTCAAAATATTAATAAGAAAGACGTTGTCTAATGTACAAAGTTGCAACTAGTAGATAAGTAAGTTCTGGAAATCTAATACACAGTATAGGATGACCCCCTGGAGGAGGGCTTGACAACTCACTCTGCTATTCTTGCCTGGAGAATCCCCATGGACAGAGGAGCCTGGCAGACTACATTCCACAAGATTGCAAAGAGTTGGACAAGACTGAGCAACTAAGCGTACAAAATGAATATAGATTGTGAGATTGTATTATAATCAAACTTGCTGAGGGCTTAGATCTTAATTTTTCCCACCACAAAAAAGAAATGATAATCCTGTGAGGGGACAGAGGTGGACTATGGCCAATCACGTGGATCTCTAGTGGTCCTGAACTCCAGTGGCTTGAAGCGGGGCTTGAGTTCCCAGCCAGAGACTGAGGCCAGAGTGCAGCGGTGAGAACACCAAATCCTAGCCACTAGACCAGTGGTCAGTGACAAGGACCGTGGCTCTTAGTTTTGCAGAAAAGAATTCCCACAAAGACAGAAAGAAGTGAAACAAGTAAAGTATTTATTAGGAGGAAAAAGAGTACAGTATGTGTTCATAGGCACACGGGCAGGCTCAGACGGAGAGAGAGTTGAGACCTCACGGCAGGTTAAATCACTTGTATGGGGGCATTTTTCCCAGGTTCCCTTAGGCCAATCATTTTGATTTGCCAGGTTCACAGTCCATATTTGGTATATCTCAGGATCCTCCTACATGCGCACATGCATCTCTTGACCAAGATGGATTCTACCGCAAAGGCCTAGGGGTAGAGCATCCCTTGATATCACTCCACTTTGACCTCTAAGGAAACTTTCTATGCATATGTGGCCAGGGAGGTCTCCTGACTTCGAGAATGAGAAATATGTAGTCTGGGCAGGGCCCAGCCTCCTCCCTTAATTGTCCTACTATTCTCCTCTTGGAGTTTTTGGTCCACAGAGAATGAATCTCCTATCACTTTACCACCGGAGGAGGAGAGGGGCATCTACCTCTGACTCAATGCTACAATATTCAAATGTGTCAAATCAATACTGTACACTGCATACCTCATATTTTTGCAGTTTCATGTCAGTGTGTTTCAATTTAAAAATTAGAAAGGAATAGGTGATGAATATAAACTGTGGGGCAAATTATAAACCTGAAAGCTCAAAAAGTAAAATAAAATTAAACTGAGTAAATAAAAATTCCAACTTAAAGGACACTTTTAAAATGTCTGAATTCTCAAAAAGTTAAAAATAGAACTACTATATGATCTGACAGTTCCACTTCTGGGTATTTATCTGAAGGAAGTAAAATCACTCTCTTGAAAAAAAAAAAAAATGTCTGAATTGCCAGAAAAAATTGTAAGTAATTTGTTTCACTTCACTGCAGAAATGTCTTGTATTTACATCTAACTTCCAAGAATTTAACCTCTTTTATAAATAGACGCTTTGTATCATGAGAAATTGTTAATCTGGTCACTTCCTACTGTCTTAGTGGCCGCGGTTTTGATTTCTCTGTGTTTGAACTCTTTTGTTTCTACCAGGAGAGGAACTATGTTGAAAACGAAGGAAAGGAAAGAAGGAAGTTTGATATCTCATAACTCTTAAGGAAGTTCTGTTTCTTTCTTTCTTCCAGACAAGGACCCTGACTCACTGCAGAATGTGAATATCTCTGTAATCTCCAAAGTTGAGTGCCGCAGAGCCTATAAAAACATCCGCATCAGAGACAATATGTTATGTGTGGGCATCGTGCCAGGAAGGAGGCAGCCCTGCAAGGTAACATACTCTCAGTGCCTTAATGTCCCCATTTTATTGTGTCCTTTGCCAGAAAAATAACTCAGTCTCCTTTTCCCTGGCAGGAAGTCACAGCTGCCCCAGCGGTGTGCAATGGGATACTTCAAGGAATCCTGACATTTGCAGATGGGTGTGTTTTGAGAGGCGATGTGGGTATCTATACCAGGATTTTTAACTACATACCCTGGATTGAAAATACCATCCGGAATAACTGAGTTCTCATGGCAAGAATTCTAGACCCTGTGACACCACCTGTTCCTAAGTGCAGCCTCAGAATTAAATCTAACCAGGTGTCCTGAATGCATCCCACACATCTGTCTCACTCCTGCCCCACAGGGTGGGTGACTGGTACCTCCCTGTAAGTGACTATACATGGCAGCACTTCCTCCTCCCCTATTGATGATGATGGCAAACTCCATACCTCTTGGAATTTATGAAGTGGCGATTGCGTTCTCGCTAATGAACTGATCATTGCCTTACTGGAAAAAAAAAAAAACTCACTCTATTGGCATCTTGGGTGACTTAACGCCTACTACTTGCACTGGATTCAATCACACGTGCTTTGGGCAAGTTATACATGCCAGCCGGAAGTCTGAGAAGGATCAAACTAAACAGAATTCCCAGGGAGGAGAGAGGTTTTAAGGGGGGACACCGTAGGAGGAATTGGTTTCTCCTTGCCCACACAACTCTCAGCACCAGACCTGGATTCTGGACATTCGTTTTGCAGCATTCTCAGTAGGGACTTAGCTCTGAGAGGTTAATACCAAAGGTAACTGGGGTTTAGGACACAGCAGGTGAACAGAGAGCACAGGATGGATTTTCCCAATGTGCTCTTTCTATGACGCCAGCTGCCCCAGGAGTTTCATTCTCCCCCAGTTAAACACTCTTGCCTTTTCCTTCCTTCCTTCTTCTCTTTTCATCTCACCTCTGCAGCTCCAGTTATCACCTGAGAGTTTTACTTGATAGATTTCCATGGGGAGTGGCCAGTATTATATTAAGGGCGAGATTGGTCAGTGACACTTTTGTAAATTAGGTCTTTGCAAGAAGTCTCTGCACATGCTCCATTTGGTTCCATTGCTCACTTGGCTTCTGGAGCCATTTAAAAACAATGAGAACAATGAAGAAGGACTTTAGAACAGGCCAGCTTGTCTATCTGCTCATTCAAGTCTTCCGCAGTGAGAGCATTTTGGTGAGAATTCTCAGGGATACAATATTTTCCTCCTCCAAACTGACCTTGTACATTAATTCTTCCTCAAATAGCTTGTCCCCATGTCCCCATTCTGCTCCTTCCAAGTGTCTACCAGGGCAGAGCGACAGCCACTCTCAAGAAATTCACATTGATCTTGACCCCAGGAATGAGAACTAGATAATGTTGATTGATCTTCTGTCTCCTGAGAATTCAGTTCTTCTTTCTTCATGGCATCCCTCCAAGGGGTTTTAATATCACAAGAGGAGGCAGGCATGGCAACCCACTTCAGTATTCTTGCCTGGAGAATCCCATGGACAGAGGAGCCTGGTGGGCTGCCATCCATGTGGTCACAAAGAGTCAGATGACTCAACAGCANAAATCTCTGACACAAATTAGCTACTCAGGAGTTCTCCGGAAGCGCTTTTCCTTGACAGCTAGAACAGGACTGGCAGCAATTGCATCATAAGTATTCTCACTCCCTGTGAACAAGATTATCTCTTGCTATTTAATTAGTGCAGGAAACAATAGAATTTTCCTTAGTAAATAAGGTAAATTAATCTAACCCTCCAACCTTCAAAGCTGGATAATCCAAATAACCTCAATATATAGTTGGCTTTAAAATTCAAATCTAATTTGCTGTGAATTCCCAATAGCAATCAATGTCAAGTACCTCGGTCTCTCATGAAGAGAATCTCACTGAGATAAATATATTTATTGACTTCGCTGTGAACTAAAACAATGATCAAGCACTGTTTTTCCTAATAAACAATCTGATATTAAAAAAAATGCAAAAAGTTCTTCAGCAGGAGCTAAATGATACTGAAAGAGGAGGAAACGCGACCCCTGCAAAGTTCTTCAAGGCTTCTCTGTTCATTTGCACGTTGGGTTTTTAACAGAAAATAGGACGGCATCTAGGACTCAGTGTCCTAAAGGGTGGGATAAGTCTTTCTAATTTTAAGTCACAGCCTTAGGAAGCCCGCTCTTGTCATGTGTCTGAGCCATATTCTCTATCAGCTCTGTAAGTCACGTTGCTAGAAATTTCCCTCTTCACCTGCCTCCTCCGTTATCTCTCTCACTTTGTTCAGAATTTCTGTAAAGAAAATAGGGGTGTCCCTTATTAGCCTCCTCAGATCCTAATAAGACATTAGGATTTGGAGAGCATGCTGATTGAGTAAGGGAATACTCCCTATAAACACCGTTCTCCAGGCTGAAAAGCTATGATCCCCAAAGCTGTGACTGGATGGGCCAGGCTCATACAAAAACCAGGTGAAGATCAGGCTAGAGCTTGCTCCTATGCACAGAAACGAACGCCGGATACTGCAATGAAGAGGCTTTCAAAGATTTCATAGAATTTAATTTAGAGTTTCTTTCCTCTGTGTATTTCCTTCAAGGATGGAAGGGTTTGAGAAACCATAAAATGAGTTCTGCTCAGTAGGGAACCAGGGTGGGAAAAAAGCCCTGGTTTAAAGTCATCAGCTAGGACAACTGGAGTAGAATAAAATTGCCTAGTGGGGTCTTCCCTGGAGGTCCAGTGGTTAAGATTCCATACTTCCACTGCAGGGGGCATGGATTCGATCCCTGATCAGGGAGCTAAGAGTCTACATGCCATCACAGTGTAACCAAAAGAAAATGAAGCTGTGGTTCTTGATGAAACTGAACAAGACAATAATACAAATTTAAAATTAAAAAAAAAAATCACCCACTGGAAGCTAAAGACGGGGACCCAGGGGCTGAGGAATCCCAAGGCCATCACTCCCAGACCCTTTGAAAACTCGATGCAGTACTAGGCACCTTGATTATCTCACTTTGGGATTTCTGGCAGCTGCTCTGCCAAAACGCCAGAGAGAGGATTCAGCTATCCAAATGCCAGGCTCTCGACCTCCTCCTCCTCGTCGTCCTTGTCTTCTAGAGCCAGGCAGGTGTTCACCACCACGCCTGAGAGGGGCCGAGCCAACACTATGGGGGCCATCATGCCCTCTGTGCAGGTTATGGAGATCCGCGGGCCGATGGCGCCCCCTGGTGGAGGAAGCTCTCACTCAAGCGCTGAAGAAAGAGCAGGCAGGTGCTGGTAGTTCGGCGGCAAACCATCCACCCACTGTGCCATCAGAGATGGGGCTGCCTTTGAAATGCCTCCGCATTCACTCACGCCCACCCTGCACCCCAGGCACCTGCTCGTGTGGGCCACACCGTCTGGGATGGAGAAACTCAGAGCTGAAAGAGGGGTGGGTCAGCAGCAGTCCAGTCTCCCTTCTCTGCAGGGGTCTCAGGACGGGGGTCTTGCTCATAACACCCCTCCCTGTGGTTCCCGGCCACTCATCTGAGGCTGAGCCTACTCTTCTGCCCTCAGTCGGCATGCGCCCTTCCTGAGGCTGCAGATCCACTTCTGAGCCATGGCTTTAGGTCAATATTTGGTGAGCCCTCCACTCCGGAACCCAGACCCTGGTCCTTGCTAGGTCAGGCCCTCTCTGTGGATCTTGCTTTTAAAAAGATCAACTGGAGATTGAGGCGTGAGACGTTCAGGAGGTGCTGAGTGCAGAGAATGTGGATCTAATTGGGAAAACGTGTGCTTGTTTAGCAAGCGGTGTTGGGGGGGTGGTCATACATTGAGATAGTCACTCTGCCTCTTTTCTGACTCCCAGGATTTCTTTGGGTGTCCTTCTTTCCTCTGCGCATTGATACTGGTCTTAAAATGCAGTATGCTTTTTATACATGTGGAGAAAATAGTTCACTGTGATTAAGTCTTCCCAGGTGGTACTAGAGGTAAAGAACCCGCCTGCCAATGCAGGAGATGTTGAGACACAGGTTCGATCCCTGGGTCAGGAAGATCCCTGGAGTGGGGCATGGCAACCCACTCCAGCATTCCTGCCTGGAGAAGCCCATGGACAGAGGAGCCTGGCAGGCTATGGTCCTTGGGGTCGCAACGAGCTGGACACGAGTGAAGCAACTTAGCACAATACCACCACTGTGGAGAGAATAGCCAACAGTGATTAAGTCCTTCCTAGATGCCTCTGTATTTTCCTAAAGGCTCCACCTGAACTGGTTGTTTAATCTGAGAAGCAACCTTCTGAATCGGGGCGTTAGTGTCAGTGCTTTGCAGACACAGAACCTAAGCTTCAGGGAGAAGTCTTCCCCAGAGTCACAAGTGGCTGCTGGGGCCACCGATCAAGCCTTGACTCAGTGGGCTGTGTTCTCTGAAGCGCAGGGAGAGTCCGCTTGTGGTAAAGAAGCCAGAGGGAGGATCCAGGTGGGGGAGGGCCACTGGGGCAGAGCCGGAGGAGGAGGAGGGTGGGTCTGTGGTTGGCACCCAGGGGGTGGTTTTTATTCATTTTCCCAGTTAGGGTGTCTCACTGTGTCTTTACTGCAGGTGCAGAACAGTGTTCTGCCCTGGGTCACATTGGCCACGTGTAGGCTCAGCTCGCTCTCACTGACCCGTGTGGCCCGGTAATTCGCTCCAGGGAGGTTTATGACTTCCTCATCCCCGGTACTCCGCAGACTGGCCAGCACCTGTAGTTGCCCCCGGAGATCCTGCTGGAACCAGCTCATCCAGGGGTACTGGGAATCCTTCAGGATGCACCGCAGGGTTTCAGCCTGTCTGCGAGGTACCAGGACCCACCTGGGCTTTTGCTCCACCAAGCTCGGGGCTGCATCTGAAACACACAGGCCGGCCAGGCTGAAGCTCCTGGGGGCAGCGGTCACCACCAGATCTCTAGCTGCAGCCAAAGCCTGAAGAGAGATCCCATGAGGAGTGCCAGGAGGAGGCTGCTGGGAACAGAAGGGGTCCTTTCACAGGGTGAGGGGACCGCAGGACGGTCTCGGCAAGCCGGGGGTCAGGGAGTAGAACTTTCTGCACCTACCGGCGTCCTGTGACCCAGTCTCTCTTTTCCTCCCTCAGTCCACCAAGCAGTTGTCTCTGCCAGGCCCCTGACCTGTATTCAGCATGCAGACAGCCAGGAGCACGCAGCCCCACAGGACGGGAAACGGGGCCATCGCCTCGCCTCTCCAGCAGGGCAGGGGGATGGGGCCACCAGGCAGGAGAGCCAACGCTGAGCTGGGAGGCCCGATTGGCTGAGACTCTCCGGGCCTGACGCTCAAAAGGGAGTGGCTTTTCCAGGAAACTCAGTATCTTGTCTTATCTCACTGAAGTTCAAACCTCAAACTGGAGTTTCCTGTTTCAGCACACCAACACACACTCACACACACACGTACATGCTCCCCACACTCACCCCGGGGCCTCAGTGAATGTACCTGGACCTGCACTCTCTCAGCTGCTTTGCGGAGAGATTCCTAGAAACGTGATGATGAATCTCTGTCTCAAATCTTCACAAGGAATTAAAATAACTCAATGAAACCAAGTCACGGGGCTTCTCTGGTCACACAGTGGTAAAGAATCTTCCTGCCAATGCAGGAGACACAGGTTCAGTCCCTGGGTCAGGAAGATCCCCTGGAGGAGGGCATGGCAACCCACTTCAATATTTTGGCCTGGGAAATCCATGGACAGAAGAGCCTGAAGGTCTATAGTCCATGGGGTTTACAAAAGAGTCGGATATAACTGAACAACTGAACAACAACCACCAAGTCAGACTTGTAGATTGAACAGACATTTTCCTATATGCATAGAGGCTCCTGCAGGGTAACTCTGGTGGTAGGTAAGGAACACTCATCTCTGATGACCTGTGTTTTCCTCTGTAAAAGCAAATACAAACAAAACAGAAGAAAATAAAAGAGACTTCCCTCACCTCCATTTTCTTAGAGCATTTATTTAGAAAACTTATAAGTTCTTTCTCTGTCATTTTGAAATGTACATACCATACTCTCCTTAAAAGCTAAATCACCTCTTGCCAGTATTAAGACTGAAGCATCTCTTTCTCAAGGATCTGCAACCATTTCTTTGGAATAAAATCATCAAAGAAGATGAGCCTAACTTGGTCTAGAGAAGATGCCTGGCACCACGTTGCAAAATGATTTCATCATAAAGATATGATATAGAGACTTCCCTGGCTGTTCAGTGGTGAACACTTGTTAAGTGTTAAGACACTGCACTTTCATTCAGGAGACCCAGGTTTGATCCCTGGTCGGGGAACTAAGATCCCGCATGCTACAGGGAGTGACCAAAAAAAAAAATAGAAAAATACTATGACATTTATTTTTCCTTTAGTAAAGCCAATTAGCAAACACAGATAGACACCCCAATTCCCAAGGGACTTCAGCATGGACTGCGGATTACTGAAACGGACTGCCAAGTCCTCTCATTTGAGGACAAGTTATGCTTCTCTTGGGCTTCCCTTGTGGCTCAGCTGGTAAAGAATCCACCTGCAGTGTGGGAAACCTGGCCTGGGTTCGATCCCTGGGTTGGGAAGATCCCCTGGAGAAGGGAAAGGCTACCCACTCCAGTATTCTGGCCTGGAGAATTCTGTGGACTGTAAAGTCCATGAGGTCGTGAAGAGCTGGACACAACTGTGCGACTTTCACTTTCACTTTTATCTTTAATTGTATTTTCCCAACAACTCACAGTGCTGCCACTTCCTGGCAGTGTGACCTTGGATCTCAGTTCATTTCTCTGTAAGATGGAGATAATATTGGAAGCTAGTTCATAGGATACATTAATTAGGATACAAATTAATACATGAAAATTTCTTAGAATAGAGCTCCTACAAAGACTCACTTAGTAGGAGTTGACCTCTAATGTTGCAATTGTTAACTTCCAATTCAATAAAAATGTGACAATTAGAGTCACTTTTACTGGTCTTCGTGGGCTTCCCTGGTGGTTCAGAAAGTAAAGAATCTGCCTGGAATGTGGGAAACATGGGTTCAGTCCCTAGGTTGGGAAGATCCCCTGGAGAAGGGCATGGCAACCCAATCCAGTGTTCTTGCCTGGAGAATCCCCATGGACAGAGGAGCCTGGTGGGCTACAGTCCATGAGGTCACAAAGACTTGGACATCACTGAGTGACTAAGCACACCCTCATATGTGGCCTTTAATCTCTTGGCATGCTGCAGTCTATGCGGTCACAAAGGGTCAGATACAACTTACTGAACACCAACAACATGTATAAAGTAACTTCCTTAATATTTTCTATATCACACTTTCAAGTTTGCATAATCTAAATGTGCACAAAATATGAATTGCACTATATTCTAAGTAACATGTGCTGATTCCGCCCCTCCCCCCCCCCACCACCTTTTTTGTTGTTGGGGGAGGATCTACTTTTTTTTATATTTAAGTGTTGACTACAAAATTATTCACAACCTAAAAGCTGAGAGTTCTGTTTCATTTGATGGGAATTTTTAGGACTTCAAGCCAGGAAGGGTGCATCTCAAATAACCCTGAGAACTGCTGCGGGGAAAGCAAGGGAGACAACCAAGGTATTTAGTTTTGCAACAAAGATCAGGTAGTCTGAGCATCAATCGGTAATTGTTAATTAAAGAAAACCAGCTATCTAGAGTTAAGGAATTGAGCACTTTTCTTTGTATTGGAAAAGGCAAGAGTCTGGGCTCACTGAAATCATTCTTTTGATATACACCTCAGCAATCTGGGGCCAGTATCCTGTGTTTTCACTTTCTGAGTTTCCTCAGGGCTCACTGTAGGGAGTGGCTATAGTCTGAAGGCTGCTAGATGGAAGGTATTCTCCTTCCTGAATTGCCTGGGCCTCACCAGCTCACCATCTGGTGGTGGCTGCAATTTCTGATGACCGTGATATCCTTTGTTTACCAACATGCAGGAAATATTCCATTTCTCAGAAGTTTCAGGCCCGAAAATGTCAGTCACTCTGTCATTTCCAACTCTTTGAGACTCCATGGACTGTAGCCCGCCAGTATCCTCTGACCATGGAGTTCTCCAGGCAAGAATACTGAAATGGGTTGCCATCCCTTCTCAAGGGGATTTTCCTGACACAGGGATCGAACCCGGATCTCCTGCGTTGCAGGCAAATTCTTTAGCATCTGAGCCACCTGGGAAGATCTGTTTCAGAGGTACAGCATTATAATTCAACACCTGAACTCTCTGCAAAGTGATCACAAGTCTGGTCAGCATCCATCACTGTGCTGTTGATGTCCTTTCCCTCAGGTAACCACTCCTCTGATCTCCTGTGCTGAGACACTCTTGCCTTCAGCGCCCTTACCTATTCCCAGCATTAGGACTCCAGAGAAGGAGAGAAATGAGCTTAGGGAAGCACTGCCCAAATCACACCTCTTGAATATCAGACCAACGAGCATGCCAAGATGTGTGCTCACCCTCACAAGACTCAAGCACTTAATCCTGATGTTTGTTCCTATGAGAGTCACTCTGGGGTTTAGATGATGAGAGGAAAGTGGGCAGGGAGAGGGGAGAAAACAGTAACTGGGGGAAAAGGGGAGAAAGAGTAGAGAAAAGCCCCGTGAACAGACAGGGGGACCAAGGAGCAGAGATCCCCTGCGTTGCAGTGGTCACTGGGTCTCCCCAGGCCAGCGCTCTGGCCAGTGAGCTGATTGCAGGAAAAGGGATCCTGGGCCCGTCTTGGGTTACAGGGCTGACTGTCCTGTCTCTCAGCCCCTTCTCCCTTCGCCTTAATCCCCAAACGCGATTGGGATCAGCTTGTCTCTGACGCCCCTGTTATCTCCTCCCAGGCTCCCACTCTTCAAGGTTGGTGCCTCCCCAAGCTCCTGCTCTGCTCTTGGCCCAGTTCCTATCCAGGGCCAAGGTAAGCCTCTTCCTTCCAGATGGCTGCCTAGCTCCTTACCTTCCCTGCCCTGCTTAGGAGTGGGTGGTACGGTTGTCTTCTTGAAAAGGTGCTTTCTCCCAGCTGCACCCCAGCTACTGCTCAGGTGCTCCCAGCAGCTGCAAACATCCTCAGCCAGGTTCTTACCAGTCTTGATGAGCTCAGCAGGTGATGAGAAGAATCATCTGCCCTCTATGGAGGCTCAGACAGAGGCTCCAGTGTCTACCCACCCTTGTTTAAGCTGAATTCCTGTGTAAAAATGTGTAGCCCAGACTCTGTGATGGAGGAGGCCCTCCAGGCTAGCCTTGTTTTGTTTTGTTTTGTCTTTCAGATCCTCTCCATTGTCTGATGGAAGAAGAACACTGAGGGTCAGGTGAGGATGGTCTCTATCAGACAATGGAAGAAAGAACTCGAGGGTGAGAGACTTTTGTCCCTCTCCTAAGGAGCAGCCAGTGAATAACACCAGCTCCCTCAAGAGGACAGGCCATGGTGAAAATGCCTGCAGGGGAAGGAGTGCCTTGTGGGTGTCGGTGACCTAAGGGAACAATGGAAAGAGAAGGCCAGGTCCTGTTGTCTTGTGTTCACTCTCCCGGGCCCCTGTGGTCTCATGTTTGCTCTGCCACTGACCAGATCGGGGCTCAGACACTGCTCAGGTCACTCCTTGATGATTCCATTTCTTCATCCAAAAATTAAATGGACTGGGATTCTTGGAAAATCAAGTGGATCTGAAGCTCCTTTTCACCCGGTGTTCCGATGCTATATTATTCCTTCTGTGCTTCTATCATTTGCATCGCACTGAACAGCTTGCCAGCGGGGAAGCTGGCCAAGCCTCTGGTGGAAGGTCCCTGAATGTGATTTCTCTGAAAGGCAATTCATGGGAAGGAAGGGAAAGTGCAAAGCACCCCAAAGGCAAATTCATGTTTATTCCCCATTTTCTCCCTCTCCTCCTCCTCCTTGCTCCTCCCCAGCGATGTGCAGAAACTCGAAGCTGCCCCAGACTTGCCCATCTGGAAAGCTGATTATGTCTCCCTCACCTCTACATGTCCTTCCAGGGATTAGTAGTCAAGACTCCTCCAGGAGATGGAAATCAAAGCCTTCCCCTCGCCCCCTCCCAGCACCCCTTCTCCTTCCTGCACTGTAGGAAGGCTGGAAGGAAGGGCTACGTGGAGTCCCACCCCCACTCCCGGTCTGTGCATAACTTCTGGGTAGAGACAAAATAGAAACCACTCATGAAAACTGGGGTGGGGAACATGTGCCAGAGGGCAGAGGGAGGGCTCAGTAAGAACATCCAGGGATACAGGGATGGGGGCAGCGCACGAAGCGAAAGAATGGAGGGAGGCAGGGAGAGAAATAGAGGGAGAAAAGCACTGCAAAAAATTAAAAAAGGAGGGAGAGAAAGTGAGGAAGGGAGAAACAAAACCTCCTTGATTCCACGGAGTCCCCATGGGCAGGACACTTGCCTCAGGTTGACAGGGGAGAGCCAGGGTGATTCATTCCTGAGCATTTCATGCCAGGTGCCTACCCCAGGGCAAGAGCACCTTCTCTCTGAGCACCTCACACCTCCTGAGTTATGTAAGTGGCTCCACTCTGAGCCCAGAGATAATCAGATCAGAGGAGCCCCAGTCTGCCCCACCCCCGTGGCACAGCGCCTGGCGCAGATACAGGAGCATATAAGTCCGTACTTCTCGAGTGTCCATCTAAGGGGAGATGCTCCAGACCCCGGAGGCCATGGCCTGTGCCCTTCTCTTCTGGCTTCTCCTGTTTACGGCCCTTGCAACTCCCTCCCAAGGCAAACGCCTTGGCCCCATGCCGCGTCTGCGTTATTCCAGGTTTCTAGACCCTTCTAACGCTGTTTTCCTGCGCTGGGACTTTGATTTTGAGGCTGAGGTCATCACTTTTGAGCTCCAGGTCCGGACAGCTGGCTGGGTGGGCTTGGGTGTCACAAATCGCTACAGCAGAGCGGGAAGTGACCTGGTTGTCGGAGGCGTCTTGCCTGACGGCAACGTCTATTTCTCGGTGAGTCTGAGGGTGGCTCCCTCCCAAGCATGTTGGGTCTCTTGCTGGGTGGAGGATGACTCTGAATCCAGGAAGGATCCATATTTTCCAAACACAATCTGGCACAGGCCCGGAACACCAGCTGATGGCTGACCTCTCCCTACAGAATGGTCCATTGGAGAGGCTGAATCTAGGTCTTCCAGACTGAATGTCCGTAAAGTGCCAAGGGAATGGAGGCACTGGACTGAAAGAGAGAGTGTCCTGGGCCACAATCTCTGTGCAGGTCACTGGGGGAGAATCCAAGCTGTTTAGGATACAGTCATCATCTTCTGTTACCTTTAGGCTCAGTGAAAGAGACCACACATAAAATAATCTAGTAGTGACATCAGTACCCACAATAATAATAGCTTAAAATTTTAATGCACTTTTGGTTAAGCAGGGGTTGGTTCAAATCTTTGCACATTAAACCTCCCAGCATCACCAGGAAGTAGATGATTATTATCCCACTTTATGGATGAAGAAGCAGCTCACCTGTCTCCCAGTCTCATTCCGAACTGCATTTATATGGTGAAGGGTCAATGTTAAGAGACCCCTGAAAAGATGAAGAGCATAGAGCTTTCAGAGAATAAGTGGGTTTTTAAGACTTGAGGATATAGGAATATTAGGATTCATGGAGATGAGATTTGAAATGGGAGAAGTGAAGCAGGATCAGATACCAGCCATCCCTCTTCCCCATGAACCCCTCCTTGACGCCAAGCTCTGTCCCAGCAGTGAACTATATTGTATAGACCCGGGTTCCACTAAGTTGGTACCTTAGCGGAGCTAAAGAGACCCAGACTACTCCAAAGCCGTGAGCACTTAGGGCTCCCGATTCTCACCCCGTGACCTTCCCTGGGCCCCAGGACCAGCACCTGGTGGACGAAGACACCCTGGAGGAGGATGGGAGCCAGGACGCAGAGCTGCAGGGGCTGACAGAAGATGCCGTCTACACTACCATGCGCTTCTCCAGGCCCTTCCGCTCCTGCGACCCTCACGACCGAGACATCACGGTAAAAGAGAGAGGGGAGAGGAGCATTTGGTAGCAAGCAGCCTTTCCCCCTGGGTGGTGACGTCACCCCAACCTGGACTGGCTGTGCCCATCGGGCAGCCAGTCTCGGTTCCCAGGGCCACCATCTCTCTCAGCCTTCCCCAGCATGCCTCCACCCCCCCATCCTGCCGCCTGGGACTCCACCAGCCCTCTAAGGGTGGCCTCTCCCTGACAGCCCATGCCTCCTTCCCTGGCGTCCCCTCTTAAAGAACCTTGCCTGATCTTGAACTGCAGGGTGTCGTGAACCACCTGTGGACGTGGACTCAGAGAGGGGCTGGGAGAGGGGGTGTGGCTTGCCCAGCATCTCCAGCGGGTCAGCCTCCAGGCAGAGCCAGACCCCAACTAGTTCTGATCCCCAATCTCAAGCCCTCTCCATTCTGAAACCACTTCGTGGCATTCTGGGGGGGACAAACCTGTTTTCTTGAGTACTGTTTAACTCACAGGGGTCTCTCATACTCTTAGTCCTTAGTGGGATTAACTATTTAATCGCCCACTTCGTCCCTTCACTCTTTCTGTCCCTATCCATTGCTCTGTGAGCCAGTGACTTGTGTCAGTGGTTGGGTGTGCGTGTGGGCAAAGTACTACTTGTGCGTGGCAGCACCTGGATGCCCTTGACACCCACAGAGCGACACTGTGAGGGTGCTGGCCGCCTACGGCCTGGATGACACCCCGAAGATGGATCGGGAGCGTACATTTGTGAAGCCCATCTTCCTGCTCCAAATCATCCACCCTGATGATCTCGATGCCCCCGAGGACACCATCATCCATGACTTGGAGATCACTGATGTAAGACCCCCTCCTTCCTGCCCAGTAACCTCCAGCCCCCTCCCACCTTCCACTCAATCCAGACCTTCCTCTTGCACTCAATATTCAGTACATTCCTAGAACCCAGGTTCCTCTGACTCCCCTTGGTCCCCCGAGGAGGGTCAAACTGGCCCTCACGTGGCCGCCCTTCTCTGACCTGTCCCTTTACCTGCTTCTCCGGCAGCCTCCCTCCCCCCAACTCAGCCTCCGTGTGTCCCCCTCTAGTTCCTCATTCCAGAGGATGACACCACGTACGCCTGCACCTTCCTCCCTCTCCCCATCGTTAGCAAGAAGCACCACATCTACAAGGTACCGTGAACCAGACGACGGGACATCATCAAGGTGGGCAGTGGGCTGTCAAGACAGGCAGTGGGCATGGTTGACTCTTGAAGAGGTGTAGGATGGAGGTGTCCAGGAGGACCTGGAAGCCAGGCCAGGTCTGGTGGAGGTGGCAGTTCCAGGATTTCCTGAGCCCAGAACTACAGCTCCCAGCACTGTTTTACTCATGCCCCACGGTGCAGCAGTGATTTTGATGATGGTCATTTGTTACTAAGTGCCTGCAAAGAGCAAAGGATGAGCCCTACCCTGGGCCCAAAAATGTGTTCTTTCAGCCCTGGAGGAAGTGCAGGCTGGTGGGGGAGGTGGGGGCACGTGGCCAAAGGCTGTCAGGTTGGCAGTCTGGCCAGAGGAGACTCAGGTAGGCCTGATTTCACATTTGAGTGATTACAATTTTGATCGAATAAATGAAAGTGTGACCTTACCGTGAATGGACAAAGTATGCGAGCCATGGTTTTCTTTAGAGAGTGACTCCAACAAGGTGTGGTCACTTGCTCAGATATAGGGAACTGATGAGGTCATTAGGGAAAGTCAGAAGTCTTGGGATATTCCTGGCTAGAGCTGTGCTGTGTTCTCAAGAAGCGGTTTTAAAAAGACTGAGGGCTGAGAGAGGAGTCAGGTGGAGTGCTGGGGACATTTGGGGAAGGAGGAAACAGAGGAAATGGAAGAGGAAGAGGGAAGTGGAGACCTAGGCACAGTTTTACTAAAACTGGGGAAGAGAAAGCAAGGTGGGGGTGGGGGCTTGAGGGATAAGGACTTGACCCAGAAGATCTTGACCGTGCTGTGTCCTGCACCCCCTGCCCAGTTCGAGCCCAAGTTGGTCCAGCACAACGAGACAATTGTGCACCACATCCTGGTGTATGCCTGCGGCAATGCCAGCACTCTGCCCACGGGCATCAGCGACTGCTACGGGGCCGACCCCGCCTTCTCCCTCTGCTCACAGGTCATCGTGGGCTGGGCTGTCGGGGGCACAGTGAGTCTGTGTGATGAGGGAAATCAGTGGCTAAGGGGACACGTGTGGTCAGGCAATGGGGATGGTGAATGGGTGGAAGATGGAGACAAGGGAGGTCTGGGATGGAGGCGAGAAGACACGGGTGAGCCCTGGTGGGGGGGGTCCCCTGCATCTACTTCCCAGCCATTCTTGCTGCCAAACCTTCCTCCTTCCACCAGAGTTACCAGTTTCCAGACGACGTGGGCATCTCTATTGGGACACCCTTGGACCCCCAGTGGATCCGCCTGGAGATTCATTACAGCAATTTTCACAATCTGCCTGGTAAGTGTCTAGAGCGTTTATGGAAGCGCCTGTGGATGGGGCTGGCTGAGTCCTCTAGGCACTGATGCAGGAGGCCCACTGACTTCTGCTCGCAGCCCCACCCTTGCCTTCCCAGGCCTCTTTCTCCGCAGCCTGTGACCCGTTCCCCTGTCTCCTCTGATCGGTCCTGCCTGCCCCAGGTCTGTATGACTCCACGGG